CGGGGGGGTGAGGTCTTTCATGGCGTTGCCATCAGTTCCCCGACATGTCTCTCTAAAGTAACAGGCTAAGACAGCTCCGCCGCGCTCAGGCCGTCCCAGAACAATTCATCTCCACGGGTTGATCTTTAGCTTGTGAACAATCGATACGCGCGGCGTTGTTTAATGTCGAGCCCGCCGAGTTAAAAGATGTTAGTTTATGAAGAACTCCTGACCACGAGCAGGCCAAACGCAGGGGGAGAGGAGTCTAAATGTGTCCGCACGACGCGGGTCTCGCCTCAAGGCGGGGCTTTGAGCACCCGCGAAACGAGTTTGGGGTACACTAGTCACAGAGTTAGGAGACGAACAGACGGTGTGATGAGCTATTACGAAATAGAAAAATGAAAAGGGGGAGGGGGGAGAGAGACAGAGAGAGACGGAGAGAGACAGAGAGAGAAAAAGAGGGAGAAAGATAAAGAAAGAGAGAGTAGGGGAAGATATGAGAAGTAGCAAGGACGAGAGAGAGAGAGAGAGAGAGAGAGAGAGAGAGAGAGAGAGAGAGAGGAGATGGAAGCAGACAGGGAGACAGGGGGGGGGGGGAGGCAGGAGGAGCATTGTCATGTCAGCTAAATTTGCATCATTCAGGACGTACGTGCAGATGACCCTGGTTTGAATACCTATCAAGGTGGTCTTGAGCTTGGTTTGTGTTGGGGAGATATCATGGCTTTAGCCACAGGGATCGGTTCTGCTGAAACTGAACAGTGAATTGGTCTCTCGTCTTACATAACTACATTGAGTTGAAAGGCTCAATCCATTGGATACCTGTCCCCATTATTTGCTCTTACGGTGACTTGTGGTAGTACATCTGCTCTAGACGTCCAACTACGGGCACATTTTGACTTGTTGCAAAATAAATATTGTACAAAAAGAGTTAGACAGGTTGCATCATAGAAGTAAAACAGAGAGCAAAAACTAAATAACTTGCCGATTTCAGAGGGGCCAAGCTGAATTAATTTTACAACTCTAGCAAGGTACAGAAAAGTCTGTTCTAGGTCACTTATGCGTTCGTGTTCTACGAACGGACTGATAGACTGTTTGGATTTTAATCTTGAATAAATGATAAAGTTCACCCCCCCCCCTTTCTCCCACTCCAAAATGTCGAAATGCTTGGCCTAAAGTGCAGTATTCGGAGTGACGGAGGGGGTGGGGGAGGGGGTGGTCTCAGTAAGATTGCAGTTATGTCTCCCAGGAACACGAAGCAGCGTGCTGAGAACTCTGGGGTGCACCAAGACGCCAGGGTTCAGGCTTTATTTTACATCTGAGCCGTTTTCCATATGTGTTTAAGTGTGTGTGTGTGTGTTTGTGTGTGTGTGTGCGTGTGTGCGTGTGTGTGTGTGTGTGTGTGTGTGTATGTGCACGTGTGTGTGTGTGAGAACCTACAAGTGCAACTCTTTCATCTCATAGGGAAAGGAAACGAACACTAAAAGCAAGCATCTGACAAGATATCTCACAAGTTGTCACAAATTTTACTCAACAGGATCCAGAAAGAATTACTTTAAAAACGAGAACTCAAAATGTTCCTTTAAAAAACCCAGCTCGCTCTGGCATTTAAAAAAAAAGCCCACAAGATCTCTCTGTGACTCAGGAAATTATTCTGCTTCGAAATCATTAGGTCGGACAGAAGCTGCGAATTGCAATTTACAGTGGGAGACATCGATATTTTTGGAGCTGTGCACATCAAGGACTCTCAGAGAACTTTGTTATCCTGAATGGTTTTGCACGCCGCCGGTCTCCTCACGGACGAATCCACACCTCACACTCTTTGAAGCTGTTCTAACGAGAAATTAAATGAGGAACCCTAGACAGTGACTTGGACGTATGGTTCTTTTGTTATTTTTTTGCAAAATGAATGAGCATGACATACTTAGTTGAGTGTTCACGGCAACTGAGCCCCTTATTGTTTGCCGACCGTTTCACGAAAGAACAACTGCTAGGCTTTTAAAAACAGCTAAAGGGGGAACATTCGATGCTAAAGAAAAGTAAAAATACAACGCTGACTCGGACAAAGTGCCTCATTACTTCATATTTGTGAGATTGCAGTCTCGAAAAGCAGGTTCACAACAGGACTGGATAAAACGACTGAACATAATATTAAAAAATCCGAGTCTCGTATACATTATGAGAAGATCCCTTGATAGTAGTAGCGACGGCTCTGTTGTAGAATCAAGAAGTGTGGCAGAAGCTGCGAGCAACAAAATCTTTTGGACTCCTGGATATTTTTGTACTGTGTCCTCTTAAAGGATCCAATTATCCAAAATGGTTAGTGGTCAGCTTTATAGACTTATCTA